AACAGTCAACCTTCTGGCTGGGAGTCAAGCACTTAACCATGCGTGCCACCCAGACACCCCAGCAAGGATCAAACACTCAAAAGTCTTCAGGGCCACTTGGTTACAACAGGGCTTCAAAAAGTTCGTGGGAAAGTGTCATTATCTTTTCATTCCATTTTTCCACGAACTTTTTGAAGCAGCCACATACATAAAGGGCATACCAAACCAAGGAGACAGATACGATGCAGCCCCACTTATGGTATTGGGGGGGGGGGGTGCCTGACTCAGAAAGGTCAGAGCCCCCACCAGGGTCAGCACCATGGGAAGCAAAAGGCAGCAGGATTTATTTTCAGGGTCGGTATCCTTGGGCCTCGGTGGGGCTCTAAGGGGGGGCCTGGAAGCCAAGGGACCAAGGTGGGGATTCCAAGGCCATCCCAGAATAATAGCAGCAGCCCCCCAGGTTCCGCCTGACCAGGTCAAGGGCCAGCAACTCCGCAGAGGAGAGACAAAAAAAGAGAGACAGAAATACAGCGCCGTGAAAGTGGAGTGTCTGTCCGTGAGTCATTCCCACCCGCTCGTTAATTTTCGCCTTTTCAGAAGTGTAAGCCAATTGATTTTTCATATTCCCCACGCACACACACCCCGTCCTAGATGCTTCTGAAATATCAACCAGGGACCCACAGAAACAGTATTCCGGGTAAGTGTCTGTCTGTATTTTTTTTCCCCTCCGCTTCCTTTTTTTTTTTTTTTTTGTCAGCTGTCTTTTCTTTTCTCAAAGAAAAAGAAGAAAAAGATACAATGTATCATACTTGGCACCTTGAAGTCGCAAAAGGCTAGGGAGCGGGTGAGAGCCTGGGGTTAGGGAGAGGCAGGGATCACCCACTTCCGGTGTGCCTTAGGGCTAGGGTCTGCCCTCTCTCAGAACAAAGCCCACTCAGATGTTATTAGGGGCTGTGAAGTCAATGCCTGTCATCTTTGTGGGCACAGATCTCCAGGTCTAGATCTCCAGGTCTTTTCTCCCTCGGAGCTGCCCGTGGGTTTGAACCACAACCTTTTGGTTCGCAGCCAAGAGTTAACTATTGTACCACTAGAAGCATCTGTGTCCTGCTCTAAGATTTGTTCATTCTTGCTTCCTCCCACCCGTTTCCCTGTTCCCCAACTCAATGTCAGAGGTTCTCCTTGTAAAAGATCTCACAGCACAAACACACAACCGCAACTCTTTCTAGCACCTTCTCCCCGCAAACCAGCAACTTTCTGGTTCTAGACAAGGTAAGGTGAAAAGAAGACGACAAGATTAAGAAACAGAAAAAAGACACCGGACAGTTTTAAAGTAATCCCCCTCTGCCTCAAACCATTAAGCGTAGAATCGCCATCTGACCCAGCAATTCCAGTCCTGGGCGTTTACGCAAAAGACTGGAACGAAGGGAGCCAAGTAGTTACGCGGAGGGATACCCATGTTCACTGCAGTACTGCTCACAAGTGCCAAAAAAGCAGACACAAGTGTCAATCAACAGAGATGAATGGAGACACGAAACGTGGTCCATCACTACTCGGCCAGAAAGAGAAATCAAGTCTTGATGCACAACACGACGTGGATGAATCTCAAAAGCATAATGGCGAGTGAAAGACGTCAAACCCAACAGGACAAATAGTGCACGATGCCACGTGAGTGAAATATGTACAATAGGCAAATGCAGACAGAGCAAAGTGGATTAGTGGTGACCAACCAGGGCGGCCTGACTGCTAAGCACGAACTGAAATGTCTGAGTTCATCCAGCAGCTCCGCAAGGTCTGCTCCCGTAAAGATTTCAGTGTAGGAAACCCATAGGGTGTTGAGTTCGAATCAAAGGCACACCATCACCGGGGGACAGTGAGTGCTTCGGCGGGGCTGGGTTTCTGTTAAGGGTAATGAAAGTCATTTGGGCGCAGATGGTGACGATGGCTGTACAACATGCCACTAAATGCCACACGTACAAATAGTTGAAATGGAAGATGTGTTGTATATATTTGATCATAATTTAAATTATTTAAAAAAAAAAAAAAAAGCATTGTCTTTGCGCCCTCAGTCTCCCCAACACTTGGTGTGACTTCGCCAGTGTAAAAACCACGGTAGGTTTTTATCAGCTTGGCACATGGTCTCTGCACGGGTACAGCAGTTAAGACTTAATCTGGTCGTCCCCTCCTATCTCCACTGGGGGCTAAGCTGCCCTGCCTAGAGAGGGGCTGGGGGCTCTTAAAATACCCACCCCCGCACCCGTTTGCCGCAGAGAAGGACGGAGTCAAGGGCAACTTGCATTAGCTTCGCCAGAGAGGGGCATCCTCGGGCTCACACTCCTAAAAACGGGTGTCCACGTGCCGGCAGGCCAGGCTGCTGCCCCAGCTCTGCAGATAAAAGCCCAGAGGTGTCTCAGAGTTTCCTCCCTAGATCCCCTCCGGAAGAGAGCCAGAACATACAACCCAGGGAACTTCCCAGTTTCCATAAATGGTGCCTAATGCAGTGGCGGTAGTGGGGGGTTGGGGGTGGCCACGACTGCTAGCGAAAAACATTAAGCTTTGTCAATTACCCCCAAACCTGCTGGGTTTATAAATATCCCTCTTTATTTTTAGAGTTTTCCTTCCAGCTCACCCCCATTCCAAACTCTCGCGCCCCCCTTTCCCCCCACGCAGGCGGCTGCACTTACGCGGGAAACAGGTGAACACGGGGCCACCGCCGGGTGGAGACACCAGGCATCTCGGAGCCCCCAACGCTCTGTCTTTCTCTCCCAGACCACCTCACTGACCATCACTGGGGCCACACTGGTCCTGGGTTTCTATCAGTGAGGCTACAAGTTTCTCCTCTACCGGCAGCGAAGATGTGAGCTATACACAAACACCTGTAAAATGTACTGTTGCTGCTGCTTCAGGAAACAACAGGGGAAACTGAGGCACAGCCATCAGGCCAGCCAATGGCTGAGCACAGGCCGGGCTCTGGGGAACCCTGGGTAGAGCCTCATGCTTTGTGCAACCGAAAGAATAAAATGGGAGAGCCGACTCCAGAACTGTCTACCAGATATTACTACTGAATCCCTGACAACCATGAACCTTCCTCCACCTCCACGGCTCCCATTGTGTCTCAGTGTTCCAGCGTTGAGGGACAAAAGCCCTCCCCCCCCCGCCGTGTCCCCGAGTAGGGCCCACTAGTACAGCCCCCTGGGAGGCAGGGGAGAGAGAAAAGTATTGGGTTCACCCAAAGATGGAAAGGATCAGAAAAAGCGTGGCCAACAGGCAATTTATTTCCATTTGGGCAGCAGGCAGGTGCCTGGGTTTTAGCATCCCTTCTCTGTATTCACCACACACCCATACAGGGGCTGGCAAGGGACCCTACCCTGGGGAAGGAAGGGAAGGGTCCCCCACCACACATACCCTGGAGCCAGCCCATCAGTGCCTTCCAATGCCATACCCATCCCACAAAATTTCCCATCAATGCCTCCCGCAGGGTGTGAGGAGAGGACCGGACCACTATCCCTTGGGACACTCACGAACATTATAACGACACCCCTGTAACCCCCGGGGGCCGATGTCATCGAGTAGGGTGGCAGGAATAGAACAGACCGTGAGCTCACCAGCCAGGCTGGGTCTCCCGCGACGTTTTGTTTACCTGAGTCCAATTTACTAACTCTCAGGACGGCTGTGTGTGTCGGGTGGCGGTCCTCAGGGGGCTGGGGAGTAGAGGGGGGTGCAGGCCCCACGCAGAAGTGCACTGTCATGGTGAAGGTAGCCCGTAAGCCCAGGACCGGACAGGGTGAGGTTTGCTAGAGAGCATGGAGACCCACAAAAAGGGGGCAGACAGTAAGAGGTGCTCAAGAGAATGCACTCTTGGGGTGGGGGTGGGGGGGGCCTGGGGTCCAGCCAAAGACTTAATCCCAAACCTGCAGGCTAAGGGATTGGGGCGGGGGGAGCAGGGAGCCTACGCCCCCAGGCCCAGCTGCCTGCTTTTCACCGCCAAAGTATCAGCTGGCAGAGGCAGAAGAGAGGAGCCAAGGGACAGAAGGCGAGATTGGCAGAGGAGGAGGGGGCACAGGGAACGGGGACCCCGGGAGGGGGAGGGGAGCTCTGCAAATGGCAGAATCCACCGAGTCCCTTGGCCATTTATAAAAGCTCCTGCAGCAGCCACCCTCACTGGGGCAGGGACACAGGCTGGCGATCCCCTCTCCCTGGCACAAGGCTGCTCCACTGGGAGAGGAGGGCACCCTGAACAAAGAGGGGTACCCGCCCTTGCAACAGCAGTGTTGGGGTCATTAAGAGGAGGCGGGAATCCCAGTAGCCCAAGCCTGGTGGGGTCACTGGGGGCCCAGACCGGGTGGGTCCCTGTCCTTAGGATCCTCAGGGACCCTCTGGCTTTGTCCCCAGGGCTCAGCCGGAACAAACACCTTAGACCCCACCACCACCAGGGGATTTGGCCCGGGCAGAATGGCCGGGTGATCCGAGCAAGGATTTCCCAGATTTTTAGGGAGGGCAGAGAAATCTCAGCTGAGTCCAAGAGGGGGTGGGAGGGACACCCCCAGATGGAGGTGCTGTTGGGAAAGCTGCAGATTCAGGGCAGGGAGCCCCTGGGGGAGGACTGGATTTGAGGAAAGGACGATGAGGCAGGTTTCCTCAAAACTGCATATGGAGGGGTGGGGGCTACTGAGGGAGGATCTGAGTGAAGAGAAGGGACCACTTGGGGAACCAGATTCCAGATTTGGGGAGGTGTGGCTGAGGAAAGATTCCAGTTTGTGAGGGGTTCCCTGAATTAAGAATTCTGGAAAGAAAGTAGCTGAAGGGAGTACTCCAATTTGGGGAGGCTTCAGTAGAGGGGGTCCAGGATTTGAAGGAGAAGGCCCTAAATTCTGGCGAGACACTCGCAAGGAGCAGTGAACTTAGCTACAGGCTGGAGAAACCTCGAGCCTCGGGAATAGGGACTCAGACATGAGGATGATGGGCCGGGCAGGGGGCTCCCCACAGGGCATGCCCCACCCCCGCGCCCCCTTTAACCTGTCTTGATGGCCCCGCCCCGAGATGACGTCACTGTCCCTCCCCCAGCCCCTCTAGGGGGCTCCCGGGGCACGCAGATCCCTAAGGGGCTGGCGGCTGAAAGGGTGGCTTCCTCTCTCTCGGGATCCCCACGGGGACCCCCCCCCCAATGCTCCAAGGGGAGGTCTGGTTGGCCTGCGCGTGCGCCTGTCCGCCGATGGGGCCCCTGGGGTTAGGGGCTGAGGCTCACCCTGCCTGGGGTCCAGGACCGCAGAAGGGTGGGGCAACACCAGGGTGCCGGAGGGGCGCCCCCCCCCACAAGGGACTGATGGGTCGGAGAAGGCACTAGCAAGGTTGAGCGGAGGCTCTCCGGTGGAGGGTAGACGGCGGGCACAACAGCCACCCCGGACGCCCCAACCCCCTGACCTCCAGCCACCTGTCCCAGACTCATCTCCACTCCGCAGGCGCCCGTTCAGCCCCTACCCCCACCCCAACACAGCGCCCCCTGCCTCCATCGGCCGCTCAAGAATCTCAGTCGCACGCCGCCAGGACCAGCACCCCCGCCCCGCACACACGCGGCCCCCTCTGCGCTCGCCCCGCCCGCACCCCGACTGGTGCAGCCGGCAACGCTGGGCACCGTCCAACGCCGCGCTGGGGGCAATTGCAGCCCAGCCCCCTCCCACAGCGCGGACGCAGCCCTCAGCCCCCAGCCCCGGCGCCGAGCCCTCCCTGCCCAGCCAGAGGGTGCACCGTGCAGGCACAACCCCCAGTCCCGTGCGCCGAGCCCTCCCCGCCCCAGTGCAGCCAAGAGGTGCCCGGTTGCGGGCGCAGCCCCCCAGCATCGCGCGCCGAGCCCTCCCCAACCCAGCCTAGCCCTGCCCAGCCAGAGGGCGCCCCGGGCGGGTGCAGCCGCGAAGCGGGCGGCCGGCTGCAGCGGAGCAGCCTCCGAGCACAATGGCCGTGCGGGTTTCCCCGGCACAAAGCCGGCGCGCTGCCCACTCCGCTGCCTGCGAGACCCCCATTGGAGCGCCTGGGTGGGTGTTTTTTGGGGGTTTTTTTGCACCTGAATGGATGCTCTGGGGCTCCTTTACCTGGAGGCTGGCTGGGCTGGGCTCCCCCGGCTTGGCCCCGCTTCACATCCTGGCCGTGGCATGGAATCCGAGCGGAGCCCGAGCGCCAGCGGCTCGCGGCGTGCGCGCGCCGGCCTGGCTGCCGGGCGGGCGGCGCGAGGACACTCACTGCGGCTCGCGCTCCCCTCGCGCCGGCTCGCGCGCCCCCCCAACCGGTGACGTCATCCCTTCCGCCAGCGCCGCCGCGGCTGCCGCCGACTGGAGGCAGGGCCGGGGCGGGACCCGGCGCGCGCGTCACTGCGCAGCCGCGCCGCGGCCACGCCCCCGCCAATGAGGAGGAACGGCACAGGCACGTGGCCCGGGGGCGTTTAAAGGGCCGCGGGAGCACGTGGGACGCGGGGCCCAGGCTCAGTGGAGCACGTGGGCGACGACACCCCACCCGAGGGAAGTACTCTGGCCGCTGCTGCGCAGATGCCCTGGCCGTTGAGCAGTAAAGGCCATGGTGTAGGTCGTGTCCTGCTCTAAATTCTGCTGTGGCTCCCTAGTGCCCTTTGAATAAAATCCTACCATCTCGCAGTGGCTAGGCTCTCTGCAACCGTATCCATCACCCTGCCTCCCGGGTCTCCCAAGTTCCAGTCAAGCCACCTTCTTACATTTTCTCCAACAGGCTAAGCACGTACCTGGTTCCTGCCTTGGGGGCTTGGTCCTGCTGTTCCCATTAGCTGGAATGCTTTTCCATGATCTTCTCCATCTCCTTGTTCAGATTTCGGCACAAACGTCTGAACCGTTATGGGAGAGGCTCTCTCAGTCCACCATCACTAACTCCGCGCCGCCCCCCCCCCCCATTCTCATCCGCTTATTTTTATCCTAATCACTCTGGTTAGACTCTGTAGTAAAGGCCAAGGCCCGCCTCTCTCGCCTGAGGTTCCCTACTGATGAACAAGATGAGGGAGTGCTCCCAACACAGCGCTTCTTGCACATGACACACATTGTCAATTACCATTACTGTTCCCTGATACTGGATCTAAGGAGTCCTGGGGACCCCCGTGGTTAAGCGCTGGGCTGCTAACTGAAAGATTGGAGACTCGAACCCACTATTGAGACCCAAGACATGGCAGTCTGCTTCTGTAAAGATACCAGCCTAGGAAAATCTATGGAGGAGTTCTACTCTGTAGAATTGCTGTAGGGCAGAGTATGGATTTAGTTTTGACTCCGATGGTTTTGACTGTCAAGAAAAAGCATGCTGGAAGCCCCCAGCTCAGATACTGACTTGCTGGGTGGAACCCTGAGCCTGGATCTCCTGGCTTGTCAAATGCACTTGCTTCTGTGAGTCCCACTTCCCATCTGTGAAATGGGGCCAGACCGTCTGTCCTCACAAGGAGCCTGTAGGAATGAATTGTGACAGTCTGACTGCCTAGCTTGTAGTTGGTACTCAAAAAACGGAATTTAGAAGAAGAAACAAAATTTACAGGAAAGTCTTATGGGAGGGAGAGTATCAAAGATGCCAAATCATTTTTGCGTACCCAGCTGTTGTGTTTTAAGGACGTTGAAAGTGTTTGCTTCCTCTAGGTAACTATTTGGAGAGAGCCTTGTGCTCACAAAGGGATTCAGGTTTAGAATTTGGAGTTTTTTTCCTCCAAAATGGGTGATTCATTCATTCCAGGCCAAAGATGCAGAGAAACAAAAAACATTAACCCAGGGAACAAAATGATAAGGCGGAAGTCATAAACAGGAGAAGAGAGAGGGGAGGATGAATAATTAAACAAGGACCTAAATTAAGCTCCAAGTTTCCCAGCGGCCAGCACAGCAGCCAAGTTTGCAGGGCCTGTTTTGTTCTCCTTCCTGACTGGGTGACCCTGACCTGGCCATTGACACCCAGGCCTCAGTTTTCTCATCTAGAGAATGGGTGCACAGCACCATCTTGAAGGATCAAGCAGGATGTTCTTAGCACACTTTCTTGTACACACTAGGTGCTCAAGTCTTGCGCACTCAATGGAGGCAGAGAGAAAGGAGACTGTTGGCTTTGGAGGGGCTGGACATGACATGAGCCCCAGCCCTGCCATCTCTTAAGGGAAGAACTTTGACTCTGTGACATGCTGAGCCTCACTGTTTCCGTCTGTAAAATGGAACGAGCTCATAGACTTCCAAGCAGTCTTAATGAGCAGCAAAGGAAAACATACCACCTACCCGGTCAAGTCTATTCCAACTCAGAGGAACCTCATAGGACAGAGGAGAACTGTACCCTAGGGTTCCCAAGACTGTAAATCTTTATGGAAGCAGAAAATGGAGACTTTTTCTCATTGAATAGCTGGTGGGTTTAAACTGGTGACCTTGAGGTTAGCAGTCCAATGGATAACCAATTATGCCATTGTTGTTGTTATGTGCCATGGAGTCGGTTCCGACCCATAGCAACCCTGTACAGGGTTCCGAGGCTGTAAATCTTTACAGGAGCAGAAAGCCTCATCTTTCTCCCCTGGAACAGCTGGTAGTCTCAAACTGCTGACCCTGAGGTTAACAGCCCGTGGAACCACTAAGCTATCAGAGCTCCTTTGCTAAAACATTGGGGTGTTTTATCTCCATAAACCCAACCAGTGAGTAACAAATGTCTATGGAACCCCATTCTACGCCAGAGGCATCGGTGGCTTCATAGGAGAATTCCCACCTCCCATGTGAGAGATTCTGGATCGATTCCCAGCCACAGCACCTCATTCATGCCCAGCCCCCCGCTTTCTCTCTGTGGAGTCTATGGGTTGTTAGGATGTGAGGATGTGACACAAGTGTCTGCAGGTTCCAGACTGACACAGACTAGGAAGAAAGGGCTGGCATTCAACTTGTGAAAATTAGACCACGAAATCACAGAGGTGTGATCCACAACCAGTAGTGAAGAACCACGCAGTGTTTTGGTCTGTTGTATATGGGACCATACAACAGACGAAAAGTTGGGGACCAACTCAATGACAGTGAACAACCAAAACTGTGTGCCAGACTTCCAGGTGGTGAGACAAAGAATTAAACAAAGCACAAAACAAATGTCTGCTTTATGGAGCTCCCAGACCAGTGGGGGACTCAGACAACACCCAAAGTAGAAATCCAAATTCTTCCCTTCGGCCCACAAGGCCCTGCACAACCAGCCCCCATTCCCTCCCTGCCCTCACTCTCCTTGCTTATTCCACACCAGCCTCCTTGCTATTCCTTGAAAACCCCAAGCATGCTCCAGCCTCAGGACCTTTGCATGGGCTGTTCCCTCTGCCCAGAACGCTGTTCCTCAGGCTCTTCCAAAGATGGCCTCTATCTCACCCTTCAAGTCTCTGAGAGACCCTGACCATCCAACTAAATGAATTGTTGATTTTTTTTAAAATACTTTGCTAAATAGGGTTTTTTTGTAAAAAGGGACTGTTACAAACTGACCTCTGTAATTCAGTGTAATGAACATTGCAGAAGGTGGCTGGCTGGCATAGCTAAGTGCTTCACAGTTAGCTGAAAGGTTAGAGGTTCGACTACACCCAGAGGAGCCTCAGAAGACAAGTCTGACAATCTGCTTCCAAGAGGTCACAGCCTAGAAACCCATGTGGGGTCAGTCTATTCTGCACACATGGGATCGCCAGGAGTCGGAATTGGAACCAACATTTTTGGAAAGCAGAACTTCATGGGAAAGTTTTTAGATTTTTGTCTTCATCTCAGAGCCAGATTAAGGAGCTCTGGTAGCACAGTGGTTTATGAGTCAGGCTGCTAACCTCAAGGTCAGCAGTTCAAAACTACCAGATGTTTCACAGGAGAAAGTCGAGGCTTTCTGCTCCTGTAAAGATTTACAGCCTCAGAAACCCAGGATTGCTGTGAATCAGAACCGACTCCAAGGCACAGAACCACACCACATCAGTGTCGGATCACAGTTTGGGATGATTTCATGTTTTGTATCCTGTCTGCTTCTCCCCTCTAACTGTGCCTCAGTTTGTCAATCTGCAAGTAGGTGTTATCATACTCTCTACCTCCTAAGGGTATTTAGAAAATGAAGCTAACTCAACAAGTCAAGCCCTCTGTATGGATGAATTATACCTCCCCCCCCCCCCCATGCCTACATTTAGGATGAGACCTTACCTTATCAGGGAGCAGAGTTTGCTTTATTATGTTAATGAGGACATCTGGGCATAGGGTCTGTCTTAAAACACTATTCCTGATATAGTACTGTAGGACCACCACAAGGTCAGCATTCAAGCCCACCAGCTGCTCCTCAGAAACCCTATACAGGTCGCTATGAGTCAGAACTGACTCAACAGCACTTAACAACAACAACAACGTTGTGATTTAAGTGAAGGCTTACAGAACAGATCATCAGTTTTACTTTCAACAAATCACACACTTTGTTTCATCTCAATGATTACAATCCCTTCCCTGCAACAACATCACTCCTCCACTTCCTCCCTGTGGTTCTTGCTTTCATGCCTTCTCCTTTCCCCATCCTTCCAAACTCTTTTCTTAGGTAACTGCTCTCCTTTTCATCTCAAATGGTTGACCATCCTATGGTGTACATACCTCGCTAAGTGTTGATGTTCTCTCTGTAGACCTATCTATAGCTTAGCTGAAAATTACACCACTGAGGTGTGTGTGTGTGGTGGTGGTGGGGGGGGGATCCGTTCCAGACCAGTCTCAGGGTTCCATTAGTCTGACCAGTAAGCCTGTTAAACCAATCACCTTTGAGATGATAATAATTAGGAATTAGATTAGGGGAGATACATGCCCCAGGAAGATGGCCAAGGAATTTGAGGACGAGAGGCTGAAAAGAGCCTAGGTCCTTCCCCCAGCACC